TTGCATAGGCCACATAGCGAGGAATAAGGCCTTGCGATTCTGAATAAAAGTGGAGTGCATGCCGCATAAGGAAGAAATGGATCAACATCCATCATCGCTTTACTTTAGTGACTTAACTTTAGTATAATTCATAGCGCTGTTTCACGACTATCATCGCTAATTCAGCATATTTAATAATAGTTTGGTTTTTTCTGTAGGCTTTTTTCCGATTCTCTTTGAAAATGGCCAGTTCTCGTAAAAAAATCAAGACTTGGCAAAATAATATTCTTTCTTCTTTGTTTCATATAGGTTGGTCCTGAGTGTTGAGCCCGAGTAGGGCTCGTCAGAATTGGCGGTACAAAAGACCAATATTGCGGGAAGTCACTGTCACTGTCATACACGCTATGGCCCAAATGACTCAGCGTGAAAGGGATACAGTATGCCGAGTGTTATACTGCAGACTAGTTCGTGCTTGTCGCCACATCGTGTATCTGAGGTTTGGAGTCTATCAGCATGTCTTTCCGGAGTTGGAAAAGCTAGGTGAACAAGACATCAAAACAATCTGAGGTGGTGAGTGACCACTCTGGACAAGGCATCCCCCATAATGATGTTCAGCGCACTGTAGTGGTGGCAGGGACTCACAACTTTATCTAGACAAGTAATCAGTTGCTCATTTTTTGTACTCAGAACTACATAGAAACTATACAGGGGGGGCCAAAAAAGTCACTTCGACCGAGTCACATATCAGCAAAGTTTTCGCAGCCCAGAGAGAAGACGTGGATACCAGGGCGGAAGATACCCAAGATGTTCCTCGATAAGCAGGAGCTGGCTCTCGCCCATCACCTTCATGTACACCAAAATATGAAGTCATCTCCAGTCGCAGCCTGACTGGAGAAGACCTTTGGAATTCATGTCACCTCCAAACAGCTGCGAAACTTCTAGTATGGAGTCACCCATGGATAGCTACCTGGAGACCAGTACTCTCAATCTGGAAGACCTCCAACATCGAGCAGCTCCGACAACGTCGCTACGGTCTAGGACATCATCTTCACGGCAGTCGCCAAGGCGCGGGTTGATGGTATGGACCGGACGCACCTGGAATGGAAAGACCAATATTTTCTTCGTGGACCCCGGCTGAAGCTGAGCGCTGGCGGTTACATCGACCAACTCAAGAAGAATATCTTCCCCACATGTCGTCGCCCGTACCTTCTTGGAAACTTTGTACTGCTACAGCATTGGGTGCCACCACGTGGAATCGAAGGGCGTTGGAGAAACTCTCGCCTACCTGGAATGGAAGGGGGCTGAGTACCTAAAGAAGATGGAATATCCAAGTAGGTCACCTGACCTGAATCCCCTCAATTACCCGATTCGAACGGAGTTCAATAGGGCTCCTGGCCGTTACGATTGCGGCTCATCGCTTTGGGGCTGCGGAGAAATCTCAGGACCAACATCGCGGTTGCGTGCCAGAATCTCTCGATGGCGCTCCTCCAGAAGGCTGTGGCGGAGTGTCATAATAGTATTTAATATGCTCTTTAATATGGTGGTAGAAATGTCCGATCAGAATTTATAAAGTGTAACTTATAGCGCCTCGAAAGTCAATGAAGCAAAGTGACTTTTTTGCCCCCCCCTGTACAGCTTCAGTAGTTGAAAAAGAAGGAGAATTCAAAGAGCCGCCCCAAAGATTTCAAAACTGAAAGAATAAAAATCCACGCTGAAAGTCACGATGTATGGTTGGTTGTAGGATTGCCCGGGATGGGGCTGGAATCGATGGTACTATGCTGTCCCATGGAGCTAACAGAAGAAAACGATAGGAAGGTGCAAGTTGCTTCTGAGCCGAACCTCCCCTGCTTTTTTGAACCGTCGCAAATGATTGATCATAAAACAAATGAACAACAAATAAACATGTACTGGTCAAACAGTCCTACTACTCATACCGTTCACAAAATTTCGTGTATTGTGTCACATTTGAATGACCTGGAACGTTTCAGATACCCGACCGTCACGTTTATTTGGAAGTACGAGGTTCCAGATGATGAAATGTTCAAAGGAATAGATAATCTGATTCTTTCGGAATGGACGCCACAAAGCTGTCTACTAGGTGAATGATTTGGCGCAGTTCGATTTGGTGGGGTCGCCATATGGTACTTACTACTAGCTTGTACATGCCACCTGTGAAGACCTGTAAGTTTCTATAGCCGGGGTGTCTCACTTGTACATCCGCTTTGGAAGTTCACAGAGTTTACCAACGGGAGACTTGTCGGGTAGCATGAACAAGCAAAAAATTGTGGCGAAAGGATGGAGCGCACTTTTCAAGCCGAAAAGAAAAGAGCATGTGTTCAGTACAGGATATTCAGTTTTCAGCAGATAAACGTCTAACACTTTTCGTCACACACGGCGGCGCTGGGAGTATGATGGAAAGTGCTCTTCGCGCAAAGCCACTTGTTGTCGTTCCCCTATTTGGCGATCAAACTAGGAACGCTAAACTTATTGAGAAGTTTGGTTACGGTAAGTGAAATGTTCGAGTGCTAGTACGTAATGGTCTGGACGGCCATCAGAGCTCTTCTCGCTGCGATTCGCTTTCAGCGCAGAGCACGTCCTACTTGGGGAATCCCCAGCGGGGGGGGGGGGTGGGAGTCGTGCTTGTCGCTGTAGGGAGGAGTAATATTCGCTCCTGAGAAAATTTGCAGTGTTCTCCTGTTCACTTTTCACGACGATTTTTCCCGTTTTCACGGTGAGATATACTCCCTAAACCCGCTCGGCGGCAATACGGTAAAGTTTTTGGGAGAAACTAGAAAATTTTAAGGAAATTTCGATAAAAGTAACACGAAGGTTGGAAAAGTTGGAAAGGGGGACAAGAAGGCAAGATAAAGTAGGGAGCAGATGGAAGTCGTAACAGAGGACGAAAGTGAGAGGGGGAGTCGTATTTTCGGAAATTTACCCCAGCGGCAGGATGTGCCCTCTTTCAGCGCCCTCGAAGCAGCGAAGAGCTGTTGTGACAGATGCAGAGAAAAATAATATTTAAGGAATTCTCCTGCAGAAAGCTCGTCTTGTCAACAGCAACGTGCTCCGCAACGCAATCGAACGAATTCTGACTGATCCCAAGTGAGTAATAAGGTTCTCCTTACGTGCTGGAAACGATACATCATTGCTGAGTAATGCTGTGTTGATACTCCAGATACCAGAAAGCTGCCAATCGGATGAGCCAGCTGCTCTCACGACGTCCTTTCAGTCCAGAGGAGAAACTCGTGAAAGCCGTTGAGCTTGCTGCCGAATTCGGAGACTTGCAAGAATCCAAAGTAGCTGGAAGAAGTCTGGGGTTCATGGTCTATTACAATCTCGATTTAATTTTCATTTTAGCAGCAACATTTGCAGCAATTATAGTTGTTGTAGCATATGTTATTTTACGGGTTCTCAGCAAATTTTTCGTACCAGTAAAAGGTAAACTCGAATGAGTGACTTTTCTGTAATCTGTATTGAGTCTAATAAAGTTCCATGGTCATTCTGTCTGTTACTATTTTGCTGAGAGTACTAGTCCTCCTTGCAGGGATCCGTAACGTCATTCCAACACGGCGAGCACTTCGGAAGTTCAAAATTCTGTGAGGCTATGAATCAATAGGACTTTTTTTCTTGTTGGACCAGTGTTTCAGAACAAACCACATAGGACAGGGGAGGTGGAAAAATGGTGGGAAGAAACTAGAGTAAGGGCTTCTGCTCTTCCTCTGTCTGGTACTTCCCATCCTCGAACTCGCAATCTTTTCTTCGCACTTTCCATTCCTCTTGCATAAAATAGTCGGAGAAATGGTGAACAAATGAAATTTGTACATCTCGCAGAGGTGCAGAGGCTCACTTGATACAACATATTTGCACAAAAAAATTTGACAAGGTTGTGCAAACGTTATTTATTCGGATAACGTGTCACATGGTACGGATGACAATGAATACTTTTCCCCTAAAAGGCAGTTGGCGATAAATCCCTCAAGACGACTAGGATCAATACTCCTGGCAGGATAGAATTCCGCGACCCTGGGCAGGCGCTGCATAGCGGTTTCCCCGAGGAAGGTGCCCTTATAAGGGCCCTATCAAGCCACAACTTTACGTCCCAAACGCCCGCCCGCCCACAAATGGACGACCGTTCCTGACGCTCGTATTCATTTATTTCCTAAGCAAATTATGAAGCGAAGGGATAGATATAGTGTAGTTCGCTGCGGACGGTTGGGCGTGTCAGTGCGGCTGCGTTTGGCGCGGTGCCAAACTCGTTCTCCACCAGTTGTTGAAGCGGGCAAGTGACAATACTGTATCATATCCTTCGTATTACTCGTTTTCTACCACTTTTTGTCGCATGCGCGTTCAACAAGAAGGCAGAGAACGGCTTTGATGGGGTGACACACTCATACTGGCTGACACGCCCAACCGTCCGCAGTGAAGCAGAGAGTATGAAGGTAGCGGTGATTGGCAAGATGCCTACGGGAAACTCGTCCGAAATCGATTTACAAGTCACTGAGAACGGAGGCTTTTTCTTCGCAGGATTTTGACCGTTTCACTCCGTTCTTTCGCCATTTCCCCACTATACAGCGCCCTACTAGCATTTTAGGCTAAGTAGGAAACCATCGTGCCAACTGCCTTTAAAGGCAGCGTCCGCGATCAACCAAGGTGAAAAAACCTGTACTGTACAAGATCGCGGAGTCCGCAACCGCAGAGGATATCCCACTCCTTGCGGACTCGAAATCGATTGATTGACGAAGGCGGAGTCAACAATGCTGAAGCTGACGCCGCCTGTCCTGTTAATCCCGCCCCGACTGGTTAACAGTTGTCAATCCTTGCTGGCTTTGATAATCGCTAAATTTCTAGCGTTCGTTTCGTACACTGATAGAGAGATTAACTCATAGACAGATCGATTATCAATGCCAGCGTGGATTAATTAGATTAGATAAGATAACCTAGGTAGTGGCCTCATGAGAATTAGCCGCAACGAGGCTGCGATGTATTTTGGAGAACTCACCCAAAATCTGCGAAACTCGTCCAGATGCCTTAAATCGAATAGGGTCTTATTACATGTTCTTGCACCCTTTTTTCCTACTTTTTTTTGATTAATGCTTCACTTGCCACCTGTTCTAACAAATCTGACCCCTAAACCTGCCAAAGTCGATCGCGGGCGCTGTCTTGTAGACTCTCGTCTAGTAGACTCAACCACACCTTGCAGTATATTTTCTATTTTCAAGGAATTCCACTTTATTTTACCTTCCTTAATATATAGTACTTAATTAATGTTTAATACAATATATATTTTCGTCTTACCTAATAGCCTAATTTGACTTTGATTTGAATTTGTCTTACCTAATTTGCATTTCAGAAGTTGTCATCAGATTTTTTATTGCAGTTCCATGCCAATCATTATACTCCCATCCTAACGTAACAGCTAGGATTGTAGACTTGAATTTCTAAAACTAATCATTTCATACTATTCATCCTGTCACAGCCGGCTCATGTAGTCCAGCTTATATAAGACAGTTAGTAAATATAGTGGATTTAATACAATTAACTCACTAAAGTGTTATTCGTCTTCCTATCTTTTATCGTCAGATATGCTCCTTTTGCAGTCATTTCTGGAGGGGGTATCCTTTTCTCAACACAATACAGTCTAATTTTTTGGCGTAGATACAAGCTAAAAAAGTATATATAATACATAATAAAAACATTTAATATTTGTTAATTCAATCCTATTACTATAAATGAAACTTACGTGAGATTCTCTAGGTCACCTCTTTTGATAGTTTGACATCTTACTAATTTTATCTTCGAATTATTTGATTTATTATAAGTAGACAAGTTGATTCGACCTTTCGTGACAAAATGATCCCAGAAAGCCCAGGATACTTCTGCCTAAACTCATATAAAATAAAATAATATAACACTTCAACCCCAATGTATGCCTTTTAGAAACACTTACTCTGAAACTGGTGTAATCACCGTTGTGCCCGGAGCTCCTGAACCAAGACATAGGAGAAAAATCATCCTTATTGTCGTACCTAAACTTATAAACACATTTAAATTCGTTTAAGATTCAATAAGTAGACTTACTTGCACTACTTCATACAAAAATTCCTTGAATGACTTCCTAAACGGCATCTTTTGCGGGTTCGGCATGAAGAGATACATGCTTTACTTGCTCAACAGAACAGAATTGTTAACCTGTTCTTGTAAAATATTATTCCTAATGTTCTGGTCCACATTAGGAAAGTCGAATCTTAAAATCCAATGATACAAAAGTAAGATAGCTCAAATAGTAGCAATAGTTTATTTACTTCAGAAATTGTTCAACTTACAGTTCCCATGATAGTCGCAGCGTGAGTCTAAAAAAGCAGCAGCATAAACTGAAGGTATTCTTCTTCCCAAAGGTTTTGGCCTAAAATAGACACATAAAAATTTCGTAACAGGACCACCATATAGAACATAGGTTCAGGTCACACATTACATACCGAAAATCGATAAAAATCAGCAAGGGTAATATAAGAAGAATTCATTCTACTAAGAAATACTAAAAAACAACAACATTAATGAGCACCATACATGGATTACACAGAAGATAAGTCATAATTGTAGAAAAATATATAAAGAACTGTTCACACACCTGAAGTGGTGTATATCTGGTACTCCATAAAACGCCGGAAAAGTGACAAAACCACCATAGACGTTACATGGCCTGAAAAAATCTTATTTGCCTTTCCTAGTACATACCTCTCGTAACTGATAAATAGTTGCAAGAAAATCTTTTTTGTGTACAAAAAAGGGAGGCTCACTTTCCACTGATCTGTTGACTTTACAAGACAGGAACTGTAATTTTATTCATTTTTTTTAATTGTTAGCACATTGTGTGCACCATCAACAGCGAAAACACAACTGTTAGCAACACAAAGACAAAAGAAAAAACCAGAGCACGGAAGAAATAAACCGCTAGATATCACAAATGATATGCAGGAGATAAGTGGAAGTCATGCAAGCCAAGCAGAATATAAACAATACAATTGGCCATGCATCAAGAACCTCTCTCAGGTGAGAAGCTGACAGTCGGCAACCAGTCAGGTCTTTCTGTCCATAGAATCCAAAAGGGGTTTTTCACTAGAATACATGCATGAGTTGTCAGCTAACTTTGGAAAGTATTTTGGGTGATAAGGTAGTCCGAGAAATTGTATCCCTGCTCAAAGCAATGGATACTTTGGTACGTGAAGACGTTCTTGATATTCCAGCATATGTAAATCATTTAACTGAGCTCTCTCTCCCTTCTCTCAGTGAATCGACCTATGCTTCCTAACGCTCGATAAGCTGCTGGTCGCCGGTGGACGGTGTCAATATCAAAACATTCCTTGTCGCTCACGCTGCCGGACGCTTGGAACGCTGTTGGACGCTATTGGTCGCTGGCGAACGCTGCCGCAAAGAATGAAGGGTACCTCTGCGAGCCTCAACAAAAATAATAATCGAAGCGAAAGTTGAAGAGCTACGCTACTCGTCAAGAGGAGATCTATATGACACATGAACCAAAAGTTCCGTAGATTTTAATGCGCCAGTTGG